TGGTAATAATTGGATGAACGGTTTGGGAGTTATTGCTCTTGACTTAATAAAAACGCATCAAATTTGGCTTGTATGCACAGTAGAGACCTACAGTTTTTAACCAATCTTGATGAAACTTAGTATGCATGTATATATTGATGAGGTCTCGGTCAAATTCGAAAATGGTAATAATTGGATGAACGGTTTCAGAGTTATTGCCCTTGACTTAGTAAAAACGCATAAAGTTAACTTGTATGCACGATAGAGACTACAGTTTTTAACCAATCTTGATGAAACTTAGTATGCATGTATATATTGATGAGGTCTCGGTCAAATTCGAAAATGGTAATAATTGGATGAACGGTTTCAGAGCTATTGCCCTAGATTTAATAAAAACGGGTCAAATTTTGGCTTGTATGCACGATAGAAACTAGTTTTTATCTGATCTTGATGAAACTTAGTATGCATGTATATATTGATGAGATCTCAGTTAAGTTCGAAATTTGTATCAATTGGATGATCGGTTTCAGAGTTATTGCCCTTGACTTAATATAAACGCGTCAAATTTGGCATGTAGATACGATATATATTGAAGTTCGAAATTGGTATTAATTCGATGAATTTTCAGAGTAATTCCCTTGTGTGTACGACCTTGACTTTAAATAATTTTCAGATTTTTTCAAACTTTAAAATTTCATTATTAAGTCACCAAAGACTTTGCTATCATTTCTGACAGCATGGCCATGAAGTGTGCAATGGGAGGACTATGATAAGAGCACCTAATGACTTATTTTCTCCTGTAAAAAACTCATGGGATTTTTAATGTTCCACCCTTGTCCTTTTGGAGAAACCAGCAGGAAACAGATCTGCACTAGAATCATATGTTTAAACTGTATTATGAAATTTTTTTCCAATTCAGAAACCATAGTATTAATTATTTGATAATAATACTTCATTAATAAGCTTAAAGGTGGGTTTCCTTATTTTTTAGTGTCAAATTAAGCAAACTATTTGATTAATTGTTGTTTCTAATGAATTATCATGTATTCTTTATCATATCATTATGTTCTTATTGCATATAATTAAGAGTTTTAACCAATCATAAATGTCCATGTATTTACAGTCTGGATAAACAAAAAAAATACTTTTTGATCTTTCTTGATCGGTCACTCATTGGAATTCTGCTGGTAATCTCTTCTAATTAGCTTATTATGAATAAATTTTGAGACAAACTGGTATTTTTCCAAGTCATTAGAACATCTGTACTTTCTATTCATATAAGTATTAGCATTTTCATTTACATAAATGAAAAAAAGGGAACCCATCTTTAAAATAAAAATTTTTCCTACCTATAATCAAAGAAGAGTTCCTCTCCAGATTGGATGCTACGTTTAGCAAATATACCAATCCTGTGATCTCCATTCACCATCATCACTTTAGCATAACAGTTAGGATTGATAGAATGATTGGCGAATCGGATTTTATTTCCTTTTCTTGTGGCATCCACTACAAAATCTACAATAAAATACCAAATTTAGTGAACACATTTCAAAAACAGCAACTAGGAAAATTTGCTTATCCAGGAAGATTTGAACCATTAACAAAAATTCATCTATATCTGTAAGATTGGCCCTGTCTTGCATAGTTTTGCAAAGGCCATACAAAATAAAGTCTGTTTTACAGGCCCAAAAATGACTGATTGTATAAAATAGTATAAAGCTAAGATTCCATATACGCGTCATGAGGACATAAATGGCCCTTACGGATCCGTCATGAGTCAAATATGATTCCATATGTGCGTTAAACGTATGTGTTATCTTTCTTTTGACACACAGACTTCTAGACAGATGGATGCTTTGGTGCATAAAAAAGACAGGGAATCCCCACAAAATACGTCACGTTTGGGAGATCCCCGCGTGGAAAGGCGTCCGGATGCGTCAAATATCGCTACGCCTTTTTGACGTATGACGGAGACCATTTGACGGATACCGCTTCCGCATATATGGAATCGTACCCTCCTAAACCAACCATTTTGATTTTTAACGCATAATGCATGATGGATCCGCATGACGCGTATATGGAATTTTAGCTTTAGAGATACAAACCATTATTCAAGTTAAATAAGAAGCTACACATATATTTATCATAAACCTTGCCACGTCTGTCTGCTTCGTCTTGTGAAATAATCTGTAATGAAATGAAAATATTCATTCATATTCGCAGATTGGTGGGGCATGAAAAAGCATCTAGTCACTCAAAAGGATCCATGGACAGTTTAAAGATGGGTTTCCTTATTTTTTAGTGTCAAATTAAGCAAACTATTTGATTAATTGGTGTTTCTAATGAATTATCATGTATTCTTAATCATATTATTATGTTCTTATTGCATATAATTAAGAGTTTTAACCAATCATAAAGGTCGATGTATATACAGTCTGGATAAACAAAAAAAGACTTTTTGACCTTTCTTGATCGGTCACTCATTGGAATTCTGCTGGTAATTCTCTTCTAATTTAGCTAATTATGAATTAATTATGGACATGTGAGACAAACTGGTATTTTTCCAAGTCATTAGAACAACTCTACTTTCTATTCATATAAGTATTAGCATTTTCATTTATGAAAATAAGGGAACCCATCTTTAAATCTAAAAGAGAGAATAGACTAATGTTGCTGTCAATCCTGGCTGACTGAAGGGATGTGTTGTCAAAACTCTGTGCCCCATGAGGCTGCTGGAGATAGAGCTAAAATAATGACCAACCTCTCCACAGTATTCGGATATAAATTCATTTTTCTCTGCAGGTTCTTTCAGGAATATTCCCCATCCGGCCACATCAGATGGTGCCAGCAGGAGATGCTGAAATCAGTTGAAATTTTATCATTCGTTATTATTTTTGACGAACGTGTGTTCGGATGTATTTACCAGTGATGTCTGAAATGATCTCCTAAAGTGTCCTGCCATTGATCGTATGCAAAGATTAATGGACAAATCTGTGCATTCAAATAGTATTGAAAGAAATTGCACTCAAATACTCACTTAAGACAATTATATCCTGTGTATTCCCAAGATCACAAAGAGTCGCAGTGGCTCAGTGAGTTAGACGGTTGCTCGCTAACCTGAAGGTCCAGGGTTCAATCCCAGTATAGGTCGAGATAATGCCTTCAGATTTTTCATCCCGGTTTCCCCGTCAGTGATGTAGGTAAGAGGGGCTGACATGGAAAAAGCGTCTAGTCGTTCGGATGGGACAATAAACTGAGGCCCCAGTGTGCTACAGGCTGTGCACGTTAAAGATCCCTCGACAGTTTGAAATCTAAATAGAGCAGGCTAATGTCGCTGTCCTGACAAAATTTCATGACAATCAAAAAGACAGAGAAAATCCAAATAGACCTACCTTGCCTTGACTTCTCTGTACACTGACGTTCTTACACGATATTTTAATGGTGTCAAATTGATCTATGTGAAAAAATTAAAAAATATATAAAAAAAAATACAACCAGAAATTATAGATATTGGGTCAACAATATGTCACGATATTTATAGAAAATAAAAATCACGATTGGAATTTATGGCTATGCCACATTAGGCAAAGTGATATCGTGATAATTAAAGATGGGTTTCCTTATTTTTTTAGTGTCAAATTAAGCAAACTATTTGACAAATTGGTGTTTTTAAGGAATTATCATGTATTCTTAATCATATCATTATGTTCTTATTGCATATAATTTAAGTTTTAACCAATCATATATGTCCAGTCTGGAAAAACAAAAAATTTATTGATCGGTCACTTATTGGAATTCTGCTGGTAATTCTCTTCTTAATTAACTAATTGTGAATTTATTAAGGACATGTGAGACAAACTGGTATTTTTCATTAGAACACCTCTACTTTCTATTCATATAAGTATTAGCATTTTCACTTTTATAAATGAAAATAAGGGAACCCATCTTTAAGTTATTTCAAAATTTGCGATCCAAAGCAATGTTTAATTCATCAAAATTCCTTTCAAAAAATCAAATCTTAGAAAAGCAATAATACAACTTGCATCTTAAAGTTTGTTTTTTCATACAACTCTCTGCTTTACAGCAGTGACAAGGACAAGGAATTCCCCCACCCTCGAATATCCCACCTCACAATAGTTACCTGAACCACAAGTTTGACAGAGATCAGGGTCACATTCCCTTACAGCCAGAAAACATGGACACTGTTTGGTATTACACTGAGCTTTACAGCGACAACCTGGAAATCTATTTTGACCTTTAATTGAAAGAGTTGAGAAATTGGGAAAGATTAATTAACATAATGCCTGTATAAAAGAGAAATACTCCAAAAAAAACCACTTTTGGTCACTAAACAAGCATGAAAACAAGAAACATAGGCAAGTCTCGCAAGCGAATACGCCCACCAGCGGCTTGATAAAGAGCTAAATGTGAACTGTAAAACAAACTCTATATCATAGCCTGTAGAGTGAGCACGAGCCAAAAAGTGGAGTTTTATTCGGTATCTCTCAAAAAATCATCAGATCATCACCAAATTCAATAGTGCACATCTTCATAATGATATTGACACACATACAAAAGATCAAAAGAATCCTTGGAGAATCCTAGCCTCTAGAGTGTGTATGAGGTAAATGTGAACCGACCGACCGACCGACAGGGGCAACTACAATAAAAATAATCACATCAATTTGGATCAAATACAATTTTTTTCTCTAATAAGACCATGATAACACTGACTGACACAGCTCTAGTGAGAAATGACTGTTAAATACAACCAAATTTACCTTATTAGTGAGTACAGTTAAATCTACACTCTAGAGCTCTATTTAGAGATGGCTCAGTGAGTTAACTGAAGGTCCAGGGTTCAATTCCGGCATAGGTTGAGATAATACCTTTGGATTTTTCAACCCGGTTTCCCCCTGTCAGTGATACAGGTAAGAGGGGCTGACATGGAAAAAGCGTCTAGTTGTCCGGATAGCACAATAAACCAAGGCGCCTTGTGCTACAGGCTGTGCACGTTAAAGATCCCTCGACAGTTGGAAATCTAAATAGAGCAGGCTAATGCCGCTGTCCTGGCAAAATTTCCCTCGTTGCACCCTACATGGCGTTGCCTGTCTTCATTAACCCACAAGGTGCAGAAAAGTAGGACGTAAAACTCCATTCATTTCATTTCTAATGAGAGATGACTAGTAAACGCATATACTTACAGTCACTACTACATTGACAGAATTTCTCACAGAAATTTTGTGCCATGGTACACGGACATGACTCATCACAGCGCTGTCCAGGATGGTCACATGGTGTATAATTATAGACAGGGTTAGGTGAACCATCTTTCTTCAACTGTATCTTACGACAATGCATTGACCACAACCTACAAATAGAAATTTGATACCAACCAATTAAATTGAGTTTTACATCCGACTTTTCTGTTCCTGATTTGGACCAATTAAATTGGGTTTTACATCTTACATTTTTGTTCCTGATTGGACCAATCAAATTGGGTTTTACATTCTTTTTTTTAGTTTCTGATTGGACCAATTAAATTGGGTTTTATATTTTTGATCTAAACCTACTTTTGCTTCTTTTTCTTCTTCCGAGGTGGTGTCTGTATTCTTTCTTCATTTAAATCTGGCATATGGGCTTCTTCTTTGATAGCAAACTCATATACCTACAAAAAAGTTGACAAAATTATGTTCCATTCCAGAAACTTTTCCAAGCTGAAGAGGTTGACATGGGACATGCATTTAAAGATGGGTTTCCTTTTTTTTTTTAGTGTCAAATTAAGCAAACTATTAGATTAATTGGTGTTTCTTATGAATTATCATGTATTCTTAATCATATCATTATGTTCTTATTGCATATAATTAAGAGTTTTAACCAATCATAAATGTCCATGTATGTACAGTCTGGATGAACAAAAAAAAAGACTTTTTGACCTTTCTTGATCAGTCACTCATTGGAATTTTGCAGGTAATTCTCTTCCAATTTAGCTAATTATGAATTAATCATGGAGACAAACTGGTATTTCTCCAAGTCATTAGAACACCTCTACTTTCTATTCATATAAGTATTAGCATTTTCATTAATGGAAATAAGGGAACCCATCTTTAAAAGATCCAATCAAAGCTGGAAAACGAAACAGAGAAAACTCACTCTAGCCAAATCGTTCTTGTTACTCACTCAATGGCATAATCCAGAAAAGTGGATGTAAATAACATTATATTTCTCTACTGACTTGTTTTCAAAATCTTCAACTCTATTTGTGATTCTAAAATCAGAATCCTAACCTGTTTGCAGTTTTTAGAGCCAATAATTTTGCTGATGGCACAATAATTGTTTCGGTACATGTCATGGACAACACGGAATAAAGATTCTTCTGCTCCGTTCCAGACAGGATCGGTTGGTTCCTTTCTGACTGGATAGCGGATCTCCACGTCTACAATACACAAATACTGGTATACAAAATAAGAATAATAAGGGATATTGTAAATCATGCAGCTGTACATCAAATCAGAATCTTTTAGGACTTGACGATCACTGTTAACCCCGTCCATTTTATCTATAAGCCTGCCCCAAATTTGAAGTTAGTCTCAAAATATCAAGTTAACCTCACCCCAAATATTTACTTAGCCCAGCCCAAAATATCAAGTAAGCTCTACATATCAAGTAAATTCCATTCTAAATGTCAAGCTAGCCCAGCTCAAAATATCAAGTAAGTCCCACTCCAAATATCAAGCTAGCCCAGCTCAAAATATCAAGTAAGTCCCATGCTAAATATCAAGCTAGCCCAGCTCAAAATATCAAGTAAGTCCCACCCTTAATATCAAGCTAGCCCAGCTCAAAATATCAAGTAAGTCTCACCCTAAATATCAAGTAAGCCCAGCTCAAAATATCAAGTAAGTCCCAGCTCAAAATATCAACTAAGTCCCACTCTAAATATCAAGCTAGCCCAGTTCAAAATATCAAGTAAGTCCCGCCCTTAATATCAAGCTAGCCCAGCTCAAAATATCAAGTAAGTCCCGCTCTAAATATCAAGCTAGCCCAGTTCAAAATATAAAGTAAGTCCCACCCTAAATATCAAGCTAGCCCAGCTCAAAATATCAAGTAAGTTCCACCCTAAATATCAAGCTAGCCTAGCTCAAAATATCAAGTAAGTCCCACTCTAAATATTAAGCTAGCCCAGTTCAAAATATCAAGTAAGTCCCACTCTAAATATCAAGCTAGCCTAGCTCAAAATATGAAGTAAGTCCCACTATAAATATCAAGCTAGCCCAGCTCAAAATAGCAAGCAAGTCCCACCATAAATAACAAGCTAGCGCAGCTCAAAATATCAAGTAAGTCCCACTCTAAATATCAAGTAAGCCCTACATATCAAGTTAACCCAAATAAAAACAATACTCAACCTAAAGCATCATTACTGCGCTCACTGTCCTCCCCACTACTAGCTAGCCCAGCTCAAAATATCAAGTCCCACCCTAAATATCAAGCTAGCCCAGCTCAAAATATCAAGTCCCACTCTAAATATCAAGCTAGCCCAGCTCAAAATATCAAGTAAGTCCCACCCTAAATATCAAGTAAGCCCTACATATCAAGCTAGCCCAAATAAAAACAATACTCAACCTAAAGCATCATTACTGCGTTCACTGTCCTCCCCACTACTGGCACTGTTTCCGTTAATTTTTCCTCTTTTATTGCGACAACCAGTTCCTCTACTTGTTCCTGAGGACGATTTACTGTCACCTTCTTCAGATGTGTCATCTTTTACCTCTTCTTTGATGGTTCTCTAAATAATCTATATACCATTAGCCATGTGGACTCTCTAAATGGGAGTCAACAAACTTAATTACCAAATAACTTTATTAGCCATGAAGACTTTCTAAAAGCTACGTGGAGAAGACAAACCCTGATTCGAAATATCCTTTAAAGGGATACTCTGTCTTAGAATAAAAATAAAATTTAAAAATTTTAAACTTGGCCAATAAGAGCATATATTCATCAGTAGATATACCTGGTGTCATAAATAACATAACAGGATCCTTATATAATCTGATAAATCCAAACTTAGTAATTATCCATAAATATGCAATTAATCATTGAAAAACGTTTAATATTAAGATTAAGCGTTTTTCAATAATTACTTAGTTTTATGAATTTTCCAATTTTCCAGATTTTACAGGGATTCTGTTGTAACTTTATGACACCAGGTAAGTTCACTGATGAATATATACTCATATTGACCATTCTTGAGAATTCAATTTTATGTTCATTCTAAGACGTAGTATCACATGAATATATGCATTACCAGATAATAATTTATAAGAACTTACCTGAACTCCTGCCACATGAAGGAAGCAGTCCGTACCACAAGGTTCATTTTCTTGTTTTCTGTCAGCTATTTTACGAGTTAACATACTGGGGGTGGGATGGTAGGCTGAAACAAATGCGAATAAGAATAGCGATCATAAGTTTTGAACACACTCTCATGTCCACTTTCATTATTCACAACTGGTGATAATACTAGTAAAATATTTTCAATTAAATTGGATTTTACATCCTAATTATTTGTTCCTGATTGGACATTTCTGCTAATCCAACTACTACGACTACCAACAACTACCTAGTTTGCGATATCAGCATCCGCTGGATGTGAACGTTAACTTGTCATCTACCAACCATACGAAACTTCGCATCTTGCCTAGCTCCGTATAGTCGCAGATCTAATATCTCCGATAGGTAGAATTTCTCTGTTGATCAGGATGCTACAAACCAACCGACATGTCTGCTCTTAATAAGACTAAAGAGGACCCAATCGGCTGATAATCTTCACTTTCAAACAGTCGGAAAAATGATCAATGACCATGGTTCATTGTCCCTTCTAAGCTGCACTTTTTTCATGTAAGCCCTTTTGACATACATCACTGATAGAGGGTAACCAAGTAACCAAGAATTGAAACGAAATGAAATGAATGGAGTTTTACGTCCTACTTTTCTGCACCATGTGGGCTAATGAAGACGGGCAACGCCATGCAGGGTACAATGAGGGGAATTTTGCCAGGACAGCCGTATTAGCTTGCTCTTTTTTCGATTTCCAACTGTCGAGGGATCTTTAACGTGCACAGCCTGTAGCACACAGGGCCTCGGTTTATTGTCCCCATGCATCACTGACAGGGGGAAACCGGGTTGAAAAATCCAAAGGTATTATCTCGACCTATGCCGGGAATGAACCCTGGACCTTCAGGTTAGCGAGCAAACGTCTAACTCACTGAGCCACGCGGCTCCCAACCAAGGATTGAAACCATAAATAATAAAGTATGACTTACGATGAAGAAAGCAGTCATATTTGAAACAGCGTCGACAGAATAGGGTATGAAAAGAATGCATGGTTTGTTCACGAGGTACTGATTTTGCTCCTGGTCCATCAATGTTTGGCGTACATTCCGGTGGTAAGGTGTTCGGATCAGATATTTCATTTAATTCTCGATACCTACAAAAAATACAATTCTAAAATATTGCTAGTTATCAAAAATACTGTAAGAGAAGTTAGTATCCAGGCCAGGTATTCTCGAAATGATCTCAGCGTTAGGATGTCCTAGAATCAATGTCAGAGGTTATGAACTTAGGTCATCCTAGTGCTGGGCTTACTTGATATTTAGGGTGGGACTTGATATTTTGAGCTGGGCTTGATATTTTGAGCTGGGCTAGCTTGATATTTAGGGTGGGACTAACTTGATATTTCGAGCTGGACTAGCTTGATATTTAGAGTGGGACTTACTTAATATTTTGAGCTGGGCTAGCTTAATATTTAGAGTGGGACTTACTTGATATTTTGAGCTGGGCTAGCTTGATATTCAGGGTGGGACTTACTTAATATTTTGAGCTGGGCTAGCTTGATATTTATGGTGGGACTTACTTAATATTTTGATCTGGGCTAGCTTGATATTTAGAGTGGGACTTACTTGATATTTTGAGCTGGGCTAGCTTGATATTTAGAGTGGGACTTACTTAATATTTTGAGCTGGGCTAGCTTGATATTTAGAGTGGGACTTACTTGATATTTTGAGCTGGGCTAGCTTGATATTTAAGAGTGGGACTTACTTAATATTTTGAGCTGGGCTAGCTTGATATTTAGAGTGGGACTTACTTGATATTTTGAGCTGGGCTAGCTTGATATTTAGAGTGGGACTTACTTGATATTTTGAGCTGGGCTAGCTTGATATTTAGAGTGGGACTTACTTGCTATTTTGAGCTGGGCTAGCTTGATATTTAAGAGTGGGACTTACTTGATATTTTGAGCTGGACTAGCTTGATATTTAGAGTGGGACTTACTTGATATGTAGGGCTTACTTGATATTTAGAGTGGGAATTACTTTATCCAGGCCACGTATTCTTGAAATGATCTTAGCACTAGGATGTCAGAGGACATGAACCTAGGACATCCTAGCGCTAAGATCGTTTCGAGAATACGTGGCCTGATATATTTGAAACCGTGAATTTCAAATGGAATAACTTGTTTCTAGGTTTATCACTAATAATATCCACATTTCAACTTACTTTTCCCTTAATTCTTCAGGGTTTCCTTTTTCTGGAAAAACTTCGGAAATTGACTTAAATATGATATCACGTACGGCTGTAGGTTTGGGAAAGCTTTTATCATCATCATCATCTAAAAAATTTAATTTTGCCATATAAGCTTAAATCTAATTTGCGTTTTTGTTTTTGATATTTTTATTTCATTCACTAATTGATTAGAGCTCATCCCATACTGCTAGTGTTGAAACGGGTAACCGGGTCTGATTTGAGATAATCGGTTAACCGTCAATTTGATAAGAAGTAAAAAGAGAGCAAGTTTTGTTATTATTTTTATTATTTCAATCGGGTACGAGTTGCTTAGAATAAAACAGTTATAAAGATCATATTACTTTTTATTAACTCTCCTCTCATTGGCTGTTTGTTTCTTCTTGCCTGTCAATCAGCTTCAAGCTTATTAATATTCATAAGAACGGATTCATTGAGACAATAGTTTTATACCAGTTGTGGAACCAGTACATTTATTCACGGTGACTTCAATGAGATACACTCATTACACTGACCCCACAACTGATATAAAAACCTTTGATCTGTTAGAGACTGTAGCAATGAATGACAATGGCGGAATCGGAGTGTCAGACTCTGTCGGAGGAACCATAACACCGGATATAAACCCTCATTAGGATTTGACCTACAGGATTTACGTAGGATGCCAACACATGTTTTGGACATACTGGCCTAATAAGTTTCAGGATATTTCAACTCACAACTTACCAATAATTTTAAAGCCATTGTCATCAATATCAGGGTAATTAGCATGTAGATTGTTAACAAGTTCAATATAGATATCATCAGACATAAAATTACTGGGTCGCTCTCCATGTACCTTCCCTTCATAATTCCTTAACAACTCTTCAATAAAGGAACAGTCTTTATCCAGAATGTCATCGCCCATATATGGTATATTGTGAAGTACTGTTTCATCCTCTACCTGAAAATAGGAAACAAATAGAATTCAGTTGGCAAAAGGCCCATTTATGGAGGCCAAACAAATTAAGGAGAGATTTTCTGAACTTTAAATGTATCGCAAGAAAATTTTCACCAGATTTCAGTTAGTTCCCCAGCTTCCCCCTATTCCATTCAAACTATTGTATGGCAAAATCCCTTGGATATCGTAAACCACCTTTAAGATAATTATTTTTAATAGAAAATGAAAATAGAAGATGGTGGACCACAGCCATATACGCCCACCACGGCATGCGGATGGTAAAAACGAAACATCCATTTTTAGTTTCATTAAAATCGGTTGAAAACTAAGAGAGTAATAGATATTCAAGATTTTGGGGCAAGGGCAACAACTCTGCTTCTAAAGGTCGAAAATAGCTCAAATTCGTACTTGATCTTCGTTTTATGAATATGTAAACACATACCGAATTTCATTTGATTCCATCAAAAAATCTAGTTTTTAGAGCGTTTACAAGCAAATGTTGACAGACAGACCGACCGACGGACCTTCGTGTCATGAATATGTATGCACATACCGAATTTCATTTGATTCCTTCAAAAACTCTAGTTTTTAGAGTGTTTACGAGCAATTGATGTTGATAGAAGCACTTACTGTATAGAGGTTAAAGGGCGATAACTCCTCAAAACTGACGTAAGAGGCCTAAATCTTGAAAAAGCCTTAAATTTAATCAGAAGTAAACTAAACTTTCTCAAACCTTTCGATTTAGGTCCAATAACATCCATTTTAAGTTTCATCAAAATCGGTTGAAAACTAAGAGAGTAATAGCATATTCAAGATTTCGGGGCAAGGGCAATAACTCTGCTTCTAACGGTCGAAAATAGCTCAAATCCGAACTTGATTTTCGTTTTATGAATATGTATACACATACCGAATTTCATTTGATTCCATCAAAAAATCTAGTTTTTAGAGCGTTTACAAGCAAATGTTGACAGACCGACGGACAGGGGTGCTGACAATATACGTCCACATAGAGAGATGTGGGCGTATAAAAATGAAAATTAGTTATTATCTATGAATAAGTAGATGATCTAAAAGTTAGCGATCTTACCATGAAATTCTGTGTCAAAGGAGCCCAGCAGTACATGGTGGGTATCATTTTTAAAGCATTCATAACACGTAATGGAACCGTTTGGTCGGGAAAATTCATCTTATTTATCACTTCACACTGGAAAAATTATAATAAATCACATCTCATCTCACCTCAAGGCAATTTCTCTAATTAAATTGACGAGGACAAGTTTTTTTGAGGTCTCCTTTGTGACCTTAAAGATGGGTTCCCTTAATTTCATTGATGAAAATGAAAATTCTAATACTTATATGAATAGAAAGTAGAGGTGTTCTAATGACTTGGAAAATTACCAGTTGGTCTCACATGTCCATAATTAATTCATAATTAACTAAATTAGAAGAGAATTACCAGCAGAATTTGGATGAGTGACCGATCAAGAAAGGTCAAAAAGTCTTTTTTTGTTTATCCAGACTGTAAATACATGGACATTTATGATTGGTTAAAACTTTTAGTTATATGCAATAAGAACATAATGATATGATTAAGAATACATGATAATTCATTAGAAACACCAATTAATCAAATAGTTTGCCTAATTTGACACTAAAAAATAAGGAAACCCATCTTTAACAGCTGCAGTATTCCTATCAATAAAACTTGCTAGTATTATAATGTTGCCATTACCAGTATATCGTGGGTGATCGCTTGAAAGCTCGTATATGCCATATTTGGTCATTTTGACTTTTTAGTACCGTAAGAAAGCTCGTAAAAGCACGGATCTTGTGATCAAAACCTCGTAATCTTAGCTTGATTGTAAATAACTCAAAAAGCACTAATTAAATAACACGTATATAAACAGTCAGATTTAAAACCTCGTAAAATATATTATTATAAGAGGTTCAATGTTCCTTTTTCTGAGGATGAAAATGAAAAACCTCGTATACTGTATTATTATACTAGTTTTTGGTTCAATAGGTCAGAGTACTCAAATTGTTATACAAGGTTTATATTTTCAAAGAATGAAAACCATGTATAGCGGTAAAAAAAATAATAAAATTTTTTAACAAAATACGCGTACAAATAGTTTTTTTGCGTTTTTCTCGAAAAGTAATTCCGCGTCATATATCATTATACGAGGTTTCAAGCGGTCACCCACATTATGATACTTTAGAGATAAAATGTTGCAACTTGTCCATTACTCCTTATTGTGATATGTATCATTTTATAGCCCTTTTATAGTGAAGGCAATAACCAATTTTTCAGAGATGTACCTTTCTTGTTACTGGTATACTGCTGAAGGATTCTCTAACACGTAAAGATTGGTTTGGTGGCAAAGATTCAACATACTTTGTGTGATTTTCTAATTGTTCATCAATGTGTTTTCTATTTCTACCCCAAACCGTCTGAAATGAGAGTACAATGAAATACTTCATCCTGAAACAAGACATATTTTTTGGTGGGTATAGAAAATCAATACTACCTCTCAACAGAACGAACATAAAATTTGGAAAAATTAAATTTTATGTAGGGTAGAATATCTTTAAAGATGGGTTCCCTTATTTTCATTTATGAAGACAGCTTGCCAGGCAAGGTAATATACGCCCACTAGCAGCTTTGATTTTGAATAAAAATATTTAGCAGTACAGTTACAATTATCAGTACCGGTATGAAATATTCAACCATATTCAGTCATACACTTCTTTTGAACTCTTTAGAGCGATACTGAATAATATTGAGTATGAGTTATTGCCCTTGTTCTTAAAAACGTGTTCAAATTTTAGCTCATGAAAACTCTAGAAAGCAAATATTCAATTTTCAGTGCAGGACTGAATGATAAAACCAATTTTTTTTTCAAAATCAAACAAGAATCATGCCTTTTAGTGTTTAAGAGCTAAATAAAGCGTTTTCAAGAACAAGGGCAATAACTCATACTAAATATTTTTCAATTCTTCTGATTTTCAATCGGGTTCATCCTTGGGTGATTACAAACACTCATACCAAGTTTCATCAAAGTCCATCAAGAATTGTGCCTTTTAGAGTGAATTCTTCATAAAACTAAGTAATTATTGAAAAACGCATAATCTTGATATTAAGCGTTTTTCAATAGTTAATTGCATATTTATGGATAATTACTAAGTTTTTTGGATTTATAGGATTATATAAGGATTCTGTTATGTTATTTATGACACCAGGTATATCTACTGGCTCTTATTCGCTAAGTTTAAAATTCTATGTTAATTCTAAGACGTAGTATCACTTTAAAGAAACTCTGACTCTGAAACATTGATTTAACCAATCTATATACTAAGTGGCATCATAGATAGACACAGCTTTATTGTATAACAATCACTGGTTAAAGTTTTATGCAACGTTTCGATTGTTGTTCCATAAAACAGTGTCTATATATCGTACTCACAATTGCTAAATGCCATTCAAAGACTTTAAGTGGCATCAGTTTATCTGGAATAGATAAAAGAGCATCTTAATCTTCAACCCTACCTTAACTTCTTCTGCCCGTTTGTTTCTTCGTAGATGACAAAGTTTCATATACTCAGATCGTACACATTTCTTCCAGTCAACTACTAAATTGGTCTCCTCTTTAATCAACATGGCAGCTTGTGAGGCAGACGCAGCCTTCTGGGTGGAACTTCGTAAATTATCCATTGGTGTTGACATCCTCGGATTTCTATAAAAAAAAAAACAGCTTCCAGTAATTAAGCTTCTAGATTATCATTCAAATTTCTTTCAAATTCTGTTGGTTGCATTATTACATTTCTCGAATTGGCAAAAAATAAGCTTACACAATTTGATTTGATTCACAAATGTGGGTCATTTTCACAGGGTATTTCTGAGAGGCAATGAAAATTTTAAATCCTTATATATCCAAGAATACGAAGACATTCTAAGTTAAATAGCATGCAACTGAAAATTTAATTCTGATTTCACTGTGTAATGTAAGTGTGGGCAAGTGCGCGGCAGTCGCAATAAACGGCTGTAGATTGCTCAAAGATTCAACAAACAACATAAAATACCTTGCAAATTGTTCCCTCTTTCTTTTAGAATTGATAGTTTTCAAATGTCATTAATATAGTTCATGACATATTTCTATCTCACATGAAAGCAAAAAATTTAAATATTTTCATTGTTTTTATCTTCCGCCATTTGTAATTTATAGAAGGACAGATAACTCTTCAACAGAAATGTAGGCTCAATTATCAGGACCGACTCCTGTAAAACATTTTATAATCTTCTTTCTCTCTCTCTTTTGGGGTTTTTGCATGCCTATTACTGAGTAGTTTTTTTTATCTAGATTTGGAATTTGATGTCCGAAATTGCATTATCTTTAAGATTTGGTGAGATGATGAGAGACCTAATTCTAAAAATTGTCGTTTTGTGAACTGCCAAACTTTAGCGGATGAGTATAACCGGTAGTATGGAAGGGTTTTTATGGAAGGGTTTTTGGGTCAAAATAAGGTGCTCTGTTAAATTGTCTAATACTTATTATGATACCTCAACTTTGTCATATTGCTTTAGTAATTAGGGTAAAACAAATGTGTTTTGTCATTTCCTCACTAATTATACGTTTACATATCATTTTGGTATTATCATTTTAAACATATCATTTTGGTATTATCATTTTAAACATATTATTTTGGTATTATCATTTTAAACATATTATTTTGGTATTATCATTTTAAACATATTATTTTGGTATTATCATTTTCGACATATCATTTTGGTATTATCATTTTAAACATATCATTTTGGTATTATCATTTTAAACATATCATTTTCGACATATTATATCATTTTAAACATATCATTTCTGTATTATCATTTTCGACATATCATTTTGGTATTATCATTTTAAACATATCATTTTCGACATATTATATCATTTTAAACATATCATTTCTGTATTATCATTTTCGACATATCATTTTGGTATTATCATTTTCGACATATCATTTTGGTATTATCATTTTCGACATATCATTTTCAACATTTCTCTTAGCAATATACAAAGGAGGTCAAAAGGCGTGGCTTCCAGAAAAAAAGTTTTCACACACGCTAATACCTCCCAAGGAAAGATAACTCGGAATAACCGCTCGCTCATCGTCATACATTTTCAGCAAAAAAAAAAAAAAAAAACAAACAACAGTAAAGCTCTGCTCTAGAGGTGAGTATACTATAATGTTTTGCATATAATGTTCAAGAGTGGCAAGAGACGTCACGTCTACAACAGTACTAAACTGCGTGGCAAATTCTTAAGGCTACTTACCACGGAAACTTTGCGTGGCAAATTAATAAACACCTTAATTAGCAGTAGTGTAAGGGTCGATATACTCTTTTTCCTTTAAAATTATTAGTTTGTGCTCTGAGCAAGTGTAGTGGTTATTACCCCTTGAGAAAGTAATGGCTGAAAGCTTACATGTCAACTTTTTACATACATGTTCATATTTTTAGTAGTTTATGTAGTTGAGGTTGATAGGGTCAATGTTTATGGTATGTGTCAAGATCTATTGTGTCCTTTTTTTCTGATATGTGTTATGGTCTGCCATTCTGTTTTTGCATATGAAATTCTATCGATTTGCTTGGTGTACCTTTGGACACTCCACCCCTGATTTTCCCGGTAGTAGACTCGATTGTCACACGTAGTGTATGAGCTTATATATTAGTCGCACGGGGATTCCCCATTCCATTTCATTTCATGGGGAAAATGCGACCAATCTATAAGCTCCCAAAAAGACTTAAACTCCCTACATTTAATAAATTCTTACACATAAACATCTTTCATTTCATAAATTCTTACATTAAAAAAGACCTAAACTCCCTATAAATTATTACACCCTATACACCAAAAACGCCTTCAATCAATTTCCTACATTCCATCAAAAAAAGCATATTAAAAATACCCTTATATAAAAATAACATCTGGTTTTAAAATAATGTAGAAGGGAGATAACTCTTTTTTGGAAACACAATTTTTTACTCAAATTTTAAACCTTAAAATGGCAAATAAAATACTAGATCCAATCTTTAGATTATATGATCCGATTCGTTATTCATTTAACAAGAAAAAAGAGGATTATATTATCATTTCACCGACTGTTGGTTCTAAATCCCAATTGAATGATGGTGGTAGAATTACCTCCGAAATTAATTCATTATCGAATTGGTTGCTTCTTTCCGATGCTTATTTCCGATGCTTATTTCAGATGCGATTTCAAAATTAAAGATGGAATTCAGAATCTAGTACCACAAACTAATACAACGTTCGAAAACAATTTCTTTCCATCTTTATTTAGCGAGATGGTTTGGAAAGCTGGTTCAATCCGATAGAAACAATCAAACATCCTGGGGAATTCGACACAATGTTGAAAACAGTTTTATATCCTAAAGATTTCGATTCAGTCTCGGGTTGGATACCCGATGTTGGTGATGGAAGTGTTTTAAAAGAACCGGTAAGAAATCTTGCAAATGATGCTGATTTAGCTAGAGTGAGAGTTGTTGCTCGAAACACGATAGAAAGAGTAGCACGAGCAGCTAATCATGGATTCGAAAAACGAGTACTTCAGTATAACAATAGCATTGTTAATAATAGTTGGGGTAATTACGTAAATTGGAAATTATATCCTTTATTCGGTCTGTTGGAACACAGAAAAGTTTCCATAGGCTTACCATATAAAATTCATCTACAAAGAGAAAACAACGATGATAAGATATTCTTTGGAGAGAATGGTTCAGATGCAAAATTAGAAATAACGAATCTCCAACTTTACATACCTGTAATAACACCATCAATTGAAGTAGAAACAAGAATAAACAACTCGTTAACTAAAGATATTGAAATAGCTTTTCTTCA